ACTTTCTACAGTTATAACACTGTAACATGAAGTGGTGATCATTGTTTTCAGCGGGACCCTTGCTGAGTCTCTGGCTTTGAGCATGTCCCTCACTCTAATTTGCCAGGAACTGATTTTTCTTTGTTCTCAAATAATCAGAAATTTGAATTGGTATAAATATGCAAATCCACTTAAGGTATATTTTCATGACACAATCAATGAAATATCATCTTAATGACATAAGCAATATTCAATGATAAGCCCCACAGAACTTGGTACTCAATATATTAGCTACATTCTATAGATGTTGAGCTCCAGATTTTAGAGTCTAGGAAAAAGAAGACACTAAAAATATGAATGGAGAATTTTCAGGCCAGTTAAAATGACGCGTGTGATCCCAATTAACCAGATCAGTTTGGTTCTCAAGAGTTCACTGTGAATTGCCAATATCATATTTGAGTTGACATGAGAACCTTATGAATTCATTTGTTGGGTAAGTGAGCCTTTATGAATTCATAATCTCCACTTTTTCATCACCTTCATGTTTAATGTAAGTTTCACCACCATCACTTTTCAGCTATATCAGAGCATTGTTTNCATCACCTTCATGTTTAATGTAAGTTTCACCACCATCACTTTTCAGCTATATCAGCATTGTTTCTCCTTCATTAATAGATGGCTCTTTCAACATTTCGAATCATGGAACCAGTGAACTTACACAGTGATACTGCGGTTATTGGTCTCCTTCCCATNAGCATTGTTTCTCCTTCATTAATAGATGGCTCTTTCAACATTTCCAATCATGGAACCAGTGAACTTACACAGTGATACTGCGGTTATTGGTCTCCTTCCCATACATTTTCCATGCCATTATCAAAGATATCAGAATCTTTTGGGACATCAGCAAATAAATGGGAAAAAAAAATATTCAATCTGCTTTCATATAGTACATAGTGAATTAGTCAGTTGAGTTCATCAAAGATAGTTATGGGTCATCAATTACAATCCACTGTTTTTATAAGCCTTGCAAATTTTCAGTATGTAACTATACATGTTGCTAGATTATAGATCTTGAGAACCCTATCTATGCTTCTAGTAAGCATGAAAATTACAGTCATCATCCACTTCACTTGAGTGTGAGAATTTCTAAAGCAGTAATAACGAAACACAAAAAGAGATATGCATTTAAACAAATAAGTCTAACTCTTACGTGAAAGAGCTGAAAATCAAAATCATGAAGCCTCTTTTCCTGAAACACCAGTAGTTTCCGCAAGATCCATCCTGAATGCCATTGTATTAGTGCTGAGCATGGTGGTTCACTGGCCAAAACCATCAATAATGCGTTTAAGATCTGTATGACAGAATAAGATGTTCATCATGACTCTGGAGAACAAATGAACAAAAACCAAGGTAAATAATGTTACACTTCTGGGAAAGGAAAAGTTGAATTCAAATATTCAGCAACTCTGAAGCTAGCAGAACTCAAATGAAATAATCAAATTAGACAATGTGACTTGATAATCTAGTGAATATACCTGATGCATGTATGTCACTATAGTACTTCCATCCTCTGGTGAAGCAGAAAATCCATGTGTCTGGCAAATGAAGATATCAACAAGGTCAAGAAATAAATGATGATCAGAACTCTGCAGAGTCATCATTTTTCTAGAACAGTCATATATAATTCCTCAACTTAGATATGACTATAACCTTATAATCTACACAGGCAGAAGGACAAGATCATCAAAGTCGTAGACAAACACAATGACAGTCAATCACCATCAAGAACTCAACATTAAGAAGTCATTCTTCAGAAATCAGCCCCTTCAAAATGAGGGTAAGGCTACCTAGAACTTATCTCTCCCAGAACCTTCTATAGGTATGGCCTTGTGCAATAGGTAAAACCATTTTTACAAAATCAGATCACAATATCATATGTAGTATATAAACTTATATACTGCATCACCTTCGGCATCCTGGATTTTGATTGTGAGAATCCCATCATTGCAGCCAGCTGATAATTAAGATCTGCTAACCAGCAATCAAAAAATAAAAGTGAATCAGGATATTTTGTCTGCACTCCATATAATAACAAAGAAATAAAAGTACCTTTACTTTCAGCTAAAACAAGCAACAACATGAGAGATGCCAGCATTAGACCATGATCCTCGGAGAGAATGAATTGAATTATTCCGCCCCTGCATAGTAATTGGACATCCTGATAAGTTAGGAGCACACCGTCATCCTCTCCGTTCTCATGACTAGAAAGTACACATGGCATGTCAGATAATGCATTGCAATGCTAAAGTTATCCTTCATGCCAAACAAATAACAACTGTCCACTCAAACAACCAAAGAAGCATAAAGATGTATGATAGCATGGGGATTTGAATATAAAAGCAGTACAACGTCTCCTATTCAATAATTTAGGCCTGTTTTCTTTTCATAAGCATGAAAATCTAACTGTGACACATTAGCATGTAGACAAAAACAATAGAAAGTAAAACCATGCACAAAAAAGAATAAAAACCCAAAATAGTTTCACCATGGACAACCCTAGGCATAGGCTACTAAGGCCGCCACCTAGGGCCCCCAATAAATGGAAAATTTTGGGCCCCCAAATAAATTTTTTAAGATTGTTTCAAAAAAATTTCAAGATCCCCAATTATAACCTAGTTTTTTAGTCTTAAATGACTGATTTAATCTGTAATTAATTGGATTCATCTGAATGCATTCACTTGGCAGATTTGGCCAATGCATCCGACAAGAAGGCTAAACCCAACCATGCTAATATTGTGTCTGTTTCATGTAGAATTTGCGAATTATGTCTATAACTGTTTGGCTTTACACAATCAAATGTGAGCTATCCAAGTATAAATGTAATTGGTACAAGTAAAAAAATGTGTGATTGGAATGATCACTGGTCTTAAGTTAAATCTGATGCCCCTTTTTCTTAGGGTTGGATTTTTTGCTTAATGTTTTCGGCATCACACAAAATGACTAGAAAACAAAGTGAGTAGGTATAGCTCACTATCTAAAAGGTAATCATATTCATAGTTGTCTTGCTAAATTTTCTCATCTAAACATGAGATTTCTTTGCTCTTCAATCATGTCACACTTATTCTAGGACATTCAACCTACACAAATTCCTACATACATTCATTCTTTAAAAAATTAATAGCCACCAAAATAAAGTTTCAATTCTTTTTCTCTATATCTTCAACCAATAACAAACTTAATTACATTTGGTCTTTGAATTCAACTTCAATTAACGGTGTTTTCATATGCAAAATGTGAATGCAAAATTTGAATTAGTATTTCTGCATTTCAAAAACTAAGGAAAAGAATTTTCAAATGGAAGTTTTGATTTTTTAAAAATTGCTTAATACCAGATTACCATCTATTATCTATATTATTATACCACATAATATTAGGGCCTTATTTAACTTTCCACATAAAGCCCCTATTTCTGTTCGGCCACCCCCGAGTTTTTCTTATAGGCCCCCAGTCTCCCTTACAAAGTTGATCATTTAACTTCCCTGTGCAAACAAATTAATTACTTCTAATTTCAACCTTTTCACAAGATGGCGGATTCTGTTTCTATTTTATCAGAAACCTGCAAAGAAGGGGCGGGAAAAAGAGATAAAAATTGAACACAGTTCCACGATTCTGCAAAATAAAAGATCAAGCATTACTTCCTCAAAATTCATTCATTGAAATGTGAGTTGCTTATCAAAGGCTAGATTCCACGAGCAATCCAAGTGTAGATGCTAGGGTAGCATCTAAGAACTGAAATAGAAACTGCTCAAAGTACAGAGGCTTTGTGAGAGAAAATATCTATGCAGATGTAAAGATAATCACCCAGGGAAAACAGCACCAACTTTTTTCTTCAGTAACTTCTGATTCATTTACATTTTTGATAGTCTCCCATTTTTCTCTTCCCATATCAACAAAATGTAGCTGAAAGAAACCCAGTCCAAAACCCTCTGCCTTAAGCACCCGACATAGATCAGGAAACAATAACTAATAACAAAGGAAAATATATATATAAGAGGCAACCAATTATTAGCCACCCCATGAATGAAATATCTATTGGACATATTGCAACGATGGAACTTTGAACAAATTATAGATATACTCGATCTTCATGGGACTGCTTTTTTTCAAGAGCACATTCACTTTGTGAACCATCCTCTTGTTATGAGCCAGTTCCAAGACAAAACCCTTAGCTATGACAGGAGCAAAGACTACCAACATCACTCCGCAGGAAGATCAAAATGAATTGAAAGCCTTGCTTACAGAGACACCATAGAGGCCCTAATATCTTAGTCAACTATCCCACTCAATAGTGATGTGATTCTCTAAGCTCCACGCTCATGTGCAATGAAAATATGCAGTTAAGTATTATTCTACCTTTCAACAGAATTCCGGGAAAAGAAAGCATTATAACATGGATAGTTTAGATCATTTAAAGCACCAGCACCAGACAAAGCATGGCATAGGTAATAGGCATGACTATGTAGTCATCCGACATTTCAACTTTCAGATACCAGCCTTGGGAAGACCACAATTATCCCATTTTCTTCTACCTGCTTCTGTGTTGCACAAATTTCAATATGCTTAAACTCAGTGAAGTAACTGTTGGGATTTCTCACGATTTAAATCCACTAACAAACACACACAATCGAAGAACAAATCAAGAATATAAAGCAATAAGAAACAAGAAAGAACAAGATACAGATTTTACGTGGTTCGGCAATTTGCCTACGTCCACGAAGCTGCAGGGATTTCACTATTGAGAGAGTTGAATACAGAGAGCGGCTGTACCATCCACAATTAACCCTAATCACCAAAACAACAGGGTTTATATGTCCTATCGGCCCAAGCCTTCGCTCCATGGACTAAGCCTCAGAAAATTTTCCATTAAAAACCACACAACATTATTTCGGGTCAGGTCATCATCCGGATCACATATACAAACTAAACTCCATAAAAATAAACCAACAGTAACTGAGTCAGATATTTTAGATACGCAGATCTTAGTTGCTAGAGTATTGGAGGGTAGGGGGACAGGGGGAATGGACACCACCAATTATAGAATTTAAAAAAGTAAGGAAACAATTTTAGTATATTTGGCAATGCCACAATGGAAGGGTAGCCCAGAATTCTTCAGATGTCTCTCAACATTGATGTTGAGGTCAAATCTCCTTATTTTCTACTTATCCTTACCTATAATAAAACTAAGCTATCCCATAGGAAACAAGTTCAAAAATATGATTCCTAAAATGGAAGAGAAAATATCAAAATTTGTAGAAAGAGAGGGGAATCCATTGAAATCAACCACCCAGGCATTGCCCTTAGGTACTAACAACACTAAAAGTTCATATTGAGATGGAGATGACAACAATATGGCAACATTTTCAACATGAGCATGGGTTTTTCATCAACATTATATACAGCTTCCAGTATCAAAAACATGAGGAGCTGAATCTAGTTAAACCTTTAACATTCATTTCCACTAACCCTCTATGGAAACTTGTTGAAGTAACTATCTACTTCTAGGGAAAGAAAAGAAAAAATGAACCTTAACTTGCTGATAAATTTAGCATACAGTTCCCTAAAACAAGCTTGCTCAATAATATAGACAAAAAAATTGAAACTTAAATAAAAATATAACCACAAAATTCCAAATTTCCCTATTGACTAACGAGAAATTACGCTTTAGAGAGCCATCGTACATGGGCTTACTCAACTGTTGGTCAGGTCTTTTGGCTTGATGGACAGTCAGACTGTTCGTTTCTTCCCCTACAAGTCCTACGTTGCCATCACCTCTTTCACAGCCTCGGCTGTAAGGGGAACTACTAACAATCATGAATACAAAATCATGTTACAGCAATACAATTAGATTGCTGGGAACGCCAAAACATCATTTTTTCCATAGTCTCTGACAATTTGTTGAACTCAAGAAAAAAGTATAGCAGCAAAAAAGGAAAAGTCACCAACCTTTCTTTATTAATATCATCAGGAAGGAAACTGAGAATATGAGAGCTAGATGCAAGGAAATCAGATAAATGCCCAGGAATATTGCTCCTTTTGAAGTTTTCATCACCCTCAGGCTCAGGGCATACCATTTCTTCCAAGTTGTGCAAATTGTTGACATCTTCTATGCTCGAAGACATGTGGAAACATAGAATAGCACTAGCCACAAAGTTAGCCATATTGGTTCCCTCAAGAACTTGAAGAAGACGAGAAACTACAAAAAGAGATGTGATTGCAGAGAGTTGCGTGCCCTATAAGAGGAAATGAAATGTGTCATAATTATTTTAATTACTTGATTCTTGTATATACTAGCAAGCTGTTCCACATTTAACCTGTGCAATCACTGGGGTGATAACTCTTAAGAGGGTTTTGTTTAGATGTAAGGCAATTCATTTTCATATGATGGACAGGAACCACCCAAAACCAGATCAGTATATCTTATGCTCAATTTGGGGCAAAATAATACCCTAAACCCTAGTTGCATAAAAAGAATAGGAAAGTAAATATGGAGCAAAGAGAGATGATAAACCTGAGGTCTGGAAAATGCATGCCTAGGGTAGAAAACATTTTGGCCGCCATCAGCGAAGTTAGTATTTGTGTATATGGCTGCTTAAAACTTAGGGGGCAAAAACACATAGTTAGAGTGACAGTTGTACTGTACGTAGTCTAGGAAAACGTAATCCTGAAAACAAATATTCTACAGAATTTCTTTGAACTTGAAGGTTTGGGTCAAGACCCCTTCACAGGGATATAGAGACGCACCATCATCCTATAACTGCCCCTAAAGAAATCTAAAAAGTGGTATAATCAAACCAAACAACGAAAACATATATTTCAAAGTTGAATGATCATGCAAATACAATAAGATTACAGAAGTTCAGATGAAGAATATCTCACACTACTCTGGCTTAAGTGCACTAATGGAAGCAATATGGGAAAGACCAACATGCTGACAAGATCCCTAGTAAGAGTTTTGCTCAAGTGAAGCTCGCCAACAGAATATATGTCCTTAAAGTAATAAAGATCATCTACAATTTTATCAGTTTCCAGAAGAAGTTCTTCTCTTCTTCCCTTATAAGTGTTCCTGCATCAAAACCAACCAATTAACTAGAAAGAAAGTTGCTAATCCCTATGATCACCGGAATATAACTTGCCTAAATGACATTTATTTAATATTTAATAATAAAGTGAAAGATACATACTCTGTAGCATGGACAACAGCATCTAGGTGGAAGCATTGTGTTCTTAAGTTCAGAACCAAGCCTGAGAAATACTCCGAAACTGGAGGAGTTGTCATAAACTGATAGACCATGTCATCACTAACTGCATAGCCAAAAGAATACCGTTGTAAGAAAATACGTAGTTTTCCTATATTTTTTCTACATGAGAGGAATCTGAATGACCATAGTAGCACCATTGAATATGTTGAGTGTTATTGCACGCACGGCTATCTGGATCATCTTTTCCCCATGATGAGCAAATTTAAGGGCTTCTGTGTACAGTGGGAATGAGACCACAACATCCTGTTGCCATGATATATAAGATACATAAACAAATAGATCTGAACTGAGTCCCAAGCCTCTGGCAATACAAAGCAGTCATATAAGACAGGCACATGCCACATATCGGAAGACTCTCATTAATTGAGTACACATCTTTTGTTTTGAGTACACATCTTTTGTACTGAGTACACATCTTTTGTTTTGTACTCCAGTATGTCCTGATTCCCATAAATCATGCAGTTCTNACAGTCATATAAGACAGGCACATGCCACATATCGGAAGACTCTCATTAATAGTAACACATCTTTTGTTTTGTACTCCAGTATGTCCTGATTCCCATAAATCATGCAGTTCTGCACTTCTACTATAATAATAGGCAATGTTACCTGGATCTTGGGACGATTAGGGATGTGGTATAGGTACGGATACATGGTACAGTACATCTTCCGATATGTAGTACAATGGGGTAGGTTTAATTAGTACGCTATTTTGGGTCGTGGTTCGTTTTCTATTGGATCGCTTTCTCTATTATATGAGATTATATATAGTTATACATTCATATACACATAATTAACTAGTATCTATTTTGGGGTTTGAGTTGCAATTTGGAGTCGGGAATTTAAGCGATCTAGATCACAAACCCAACCCATTATGGATGGTGCGATCCTGGTTCATGGGACGGTAGGGGTATCTACGATCCGGTATTTGTGACAATAAGCACTTCAAGTCATTTACTCATTGAATTCGATGAAGCAGAAGAAGTTAAANAGGATGGTGCGATCCTGGTTCATGGGACGGTAGGGGTATCTACGATCCGGTATTTGTGACTTATTCGTGAAGTTCAGTAAATGAGTAACTTAAGCTACTTCGTCTTCTTCAATTTGCATCCTTAAAACCAATACATGCCCAAATATACATTACTATCAAGCTTTACAATCCAAAAATCCCTCTTCTTGCAAAGTTGATGCCAAATGCATAGAAGCAGTTATCCAAGTATGTTATGAAGCATAGGCATGTCATCGCAATGCCTCAATATTATCAATTGAAAATGATTTAATCTCTCAATCACAACTCGGAACCACATGCACAGAACACATCAAACAGTTGTTCTCATGGATCTAACACCCAAAATCCCAAACAGTTTAGTAGACCCGACGCAAGGAACTGACGTCAATATTGTCAGATGGACTGGCATAACATGAATATGAAGANATCCCAAACAGTTTAGTAGACCCGACGCAAGGAACTGACGTCAATATTGTCAGATGGACTGGCATAACATGAATATGAAGAAAGGGCATCTGAACAACTCTAAGATTGTCTTTCTTTTACCTTTTCTGCGACTGTTCCTGATTTGTCCAAAGATCAAGAGACCACTGTAACACCCTCATGTTTTCAAGGCTTGACTGATGGGATCAAATGCAAGTGTTGCATTAAGGCAATAGGGGATAACAAAAGAATGTTCCAGTGTTATATAACTATAGAGTACAGATCCACAATAAGTGTAATCAAGGTTCTAATAGCATCTCTTGTAAAATGAGAAACGTGCATCTAAGATATAGATTTTTAGTTTCTTAATAATTATACTTTAGTATTTCTTGTATACTTTGTAATGGACATTCATAAAGAGAAGCTAAGTCCAACCACAGAAGTTATTTGTGAAAAAAATTGACGAAATGATACAACATATCTAAAAGAGAATACTAAGGAGAAACACATGCTTTAAAAGTGCATCGACCATAAAGGCCTATGTTTAGTATGATATCCCCCATTCTCCACAACTCAAACCCATATAATGGTGACAATTAAATTCATAGACATAAAGACCAAAATTTCATTTCGAAACAGTCGAAACGTTCCCGTTTCCATAGAAATCGAAACGAATCAATGATTGAATATTGAAATTCCTATGTTTCAAGGTGTTTTGAAGTTTTCGGAATGTTTCGAGGTGTTTCGACCAATATTTCAAAATGTTTAGGAAACAAATTTCTAAATTTTTTGTTTCCATTTTGATTGTGTTTCCTGGAATGCTTCCAAAATATTTACAAACCATTTCAAAACCTTTCTGAGACGCTTCCACTTCCTAGGTTAGAGCTCGGATTGGAGATATTCGGATATTTGCCTCATGTATCAAGATAATAACAATACTCGAAAGATATGTTTGACTGTGTCATCCAGCATTACACCTATGGTTTTTATATTCACACTACACACTGTAGTAGTTAAAAGTAGAGCATGAGGATATTGACAACATATCCTACATTCAAAAGCTCTAATTTACCTCATGGACCTTCACAAGAAGACAGAGTGTGCCTCTAGTTATTTTGCCGCTTACTGCTCTGATTTAAAAACGAAAGAGTGAAATTATAAACAGCTCCAAAACATCAATCAAATTGACAGAGACAGTGAGAAACTAGGTAAAATAAACTATCATTGACAACAACTACAGTCATATAATTGCCAGAAACACAGAGGAAGGGGAATGATAGTACCACAACCTTAAAAAAGACACATAATAAGGAGCTAGATCTCCCCCATCAAGTTCGAACTGATGTGTTATAATGCTGTTGATATAGTCATTGCTTAAGCAGTAGTCTGCAGCAAACAGATAAACATATCAAAGTATGCATAAGCAGCACTCAAAGAACTAAGCAAACAAAAAGATTGCGTACAAACAAAAACCAAAGAAAAATGATATAGAACCATTCCTCAAGTAGACAGTGGCCTGTATCTTGCATGACGAATGCTTCCCACAGCCCCAACCCCCACCCACAAATATCCAAAAAAGAAAAACATATAGTCATTCAAGTGGGCATATGCAAATTATCGCGTCAGGAAGCGACAGTGAAACCAAAATGCAAGGTCTTCAGTACATTATATTTTTGTCCTTTACCAAAGACAGGTGACAAAGGCAGCCACACACACACACAAACAGAAGAACATGAGCCTGCAAGGAACTTAGCATATTACATTATTACTCTTTGTTCCCCTTATTTTTTGAAAGCATTATTTTCTCCAGTCACATTGTGTCATCATGTTGTCATTCAGTCTTGTATCATGAAAAGGGAAGGGTATATTAGGAACCTCAAACTTTTTCAACACTTTGAATTCAAAAGTGGGCATGTATTCTGGGGCATCCCCAAATGGATGAAGGGCCTCCTTAAATGGGACCCCCGCCCCTCCCCGGGGTGGGGGTGGGGGGGGGGGG